ATTATGTATATATCACAACAACTAGTATATATTTGGTACGTAGTAGCATCTTGGACCTAAAAGTAAGTAAATAATTGAATTTTGGAGCTTCGTTTTGTATGGAGTTGTTGTCTTTTACTTGCACTGTGGAACCATGAACTGATTCGAGGACAAGGAGGAGTGAATGCAGGTGAGCAACCGCACCGGTCATTTGGTCAAAACCCCAACTGCCTCCATGTGGATGTGGGGCCACGTCCTTGCGGACAACTCGGCCATCTTGACTTTTTGATTAGAGATCAATTTTAGTTTAAACAACACCTTAGTAGACCTCTCACTTCACTTCTGCAATGTACAGAGACCAAAGATTGTATTGGTTAGGCTGAGTTGGGCTGATAACTTTCCATGTAGGAATCGTAATATTCATTCATTGTAAACATTATAAGTAATGGGCCCTGGGCTATACATGGGCTCAAAGTTTACCGAACCAGGTCGGTCAGGTCCACATCAACGAGCATTCCCAAAGCGCACAAGATGATGTAGCTTTTGGTGGATTTGTTACTTGACAAACGATAAATAATAAGAAAACAAGTACGTCTCTTGCAACATTGTAAGCTAAAAATCTCAAAGCATAATAACGACATAAAGTTATCTTAACAAGTACTTCAACAAACCCAAAATTCAAAAAACTTCTTCCAAGTCAGGTCGGTGAATCTGATCTATATAGCTTCTGGCTATATTCTATTTCACTTCTTGGACTTCTTCGACTTCTTTGGTACCCTACACAAATCATAGACCCATAAATGAATACTTGTTGATGTTAAACAGTTCCAAACAAAACTAGATTTTATTTTAACCATAGAGATCAGACTTACTCTGCAGTTTGAGCAGCAACAGCAGCCGCTGGTGGTGCAGTAGCAGGCTCAACATCTCCTCCAGGACCCTTCACGACAAAATCCAGATACCAGAGTATAAGAATCCGTGATCAAATCCTAAGGAACATTTTGATACGGTAAGAGGTTTAAGTTTACCTTAGCTAGACGCTCTTCTCTCCTAGCATGTTTCCTTTCTCGGCTAGCCTTGTTCTTGGCCCTCTTAGCCTCAAACTGATCAGCCAAAGTCTTCTCTCTAGCTTTCTCGGCCTTGGACTTGTGGATACTCTCCATCAAGACACGCTTGTTCTTGAAGACATTACCCTTAACTCTCATGTACATGTCATGGTACATGTGCTTGTCAATCTTCTTGGTCTCTCTGTATTTCTTCAATAGTCTCCTCAGAACACGCATCCTACGCATCCACAGTACCTTTGTTGGCAACCTAGCTTCACGGGTACCCTTTCTCTTACCTTTTTATCCACACAAGCAACAGAAAACAAAAGTCACAATCACACAATGCCATGTAGCGTAGCCTAAGAACAGGAGTTTTTGGTATTCCAAGTTCATACCGTATCCAGAGTGACGTCCCTTCATCTTGGCAATCTTGAGAACACGGGCTCTGGAACGAGAGTGGATCTTCGTTGGTTTCCTGATGATGAAACCATCCTTCACAAGCTTCCTGATGTTTTGGCCTACATAAGAAGCAATCTCTCAGAAATGAAACATCAACAAATCAACAAGTCTATAAGAACGCAATCAAATACAGAGACAACTATTATAACCAAATCTCAGCTCTAGAACAAGAGCATAACTAAAAACTCAAGCAGCAGTGATATGATATATCTACGATCGGAAGTAAACACAGTGATTCTAAGATTACAGTACAAAAACCCCCCAAGTCGCAGACAAACACAGGACGAAATGAACGCTAGCAAGTAAGCAGAAACAAGAGAATGGAGAGAAAGAAAAGCATACGGGAATTGGCCATGGAGATATCGGAGGTTTCGTTCGGATCGAGCCATACTTTCCCTTTCCCGCACTTCATCACTGATGCGGCGAGCCGCTTCTGGATCTTCAGAGAAACCATTTTTGCTTCCTCGATTGATGTGGCGGAGGACGACTGACTGCTTCACGAACAAGACGAAACAGCTTATATATGGCAACTATTTTTCTTCTTCTAGGGTTTCTCCTCCTTCGACCAATCTATTGGGCTTTAAATAAAAAACAGCCTTTTCTCGAAAGCCCATTATTAGTCTTTGAACGATCCCTTCATATTACAGTACTCAGGGCCTGATTTCATAATACCGGGTCGGGTCGGGTCGACATTAAGGAGCAATCCTAAATTCCCAAACAGTGTAGGAAGAAAGGCTCTCGACTACAATGGCGGCCGCGTTTCTGCCGGTGACTTCTCTCTGTCTCACTCCTCTCCGCTTCTTATCTTTCTTCCCCATTTCTTCTCTATTCCGCCGCCCAATACCCCGCCGGATTCTCCCTCTTTTCGAAGCTTATCCGGCCAATGCTCGCCGGAGATCCTTTTGCACCGCCGTTTCTGAATCTCTCGGCCCCGGAGGAGGAAAGAAGGTTGATAATTATGAGAAGCGATTTGGGAGTAAAGTTGGAGAATTCAGGAAGAAGCTGAGGATAGCTGAAGTGAAAGGAGGACCAGACGAAGGGCTTGGTCGCGTCGGGCAGAGCCTCAGCATCATGGGTTGGGTCCGGACGCTTCGTTCTCAGAGCAGTGTCACATTTATCGAGGTAATCTCTCGATCATTCTCTGCTCATCTTTCGACTTTGTTTGCTTGATTGCTGACAAAATTTCCATTTTTTTTTATTGAAGATAAATGATGGTTCATGCTTATCAAACTTGCAATGCGTGATGAATCCGGACGCAGAGGGGTATGATCAGGTAATCAAATGTGACGGTTTAAAGACATATCATTGCTTATCAAGCTCTAAATTCTTGGACTTTTTTTTTGGGGGCAATAGGTAGAATCTGGTTCCATCTTGACTGGAGCATCCATATCTGTACAAGGTACTCTTGTGGCCAGCCAGGGAACAAAGCAAAAGGTGGAACTCAAGGTTGATAAAATCATTGTGGTACGTACCTCTTTGCTTCTTCTTCTCCTTATTGACAAGTTGAGATTGAAACTACTTATCTCTGGCATTTGTCACTTTTAATCCTAGGTTGGAAAATGTGACTCTTCCTATCCCATCCAGAAGAAGAGGGTGAGCCGGGAATTCTTGAGAACCAAGGCTCATCTACGTCCAAGAACCAATACCTTTAGCGCGGTAACGTTGCTTTCTTACCCGATTGCCTTCTAAGGAGAAACTGCCTGCAACTTTCCTTTATTCGTTAACATTTTTTAATTGTCCTGAAAATCTATACTGCAGACAAGTTTTGCTGCCTTCCTTCTTGGTAATTTGATGTTTTATCTCTAAAATAGAAGCATGGCTCTTGTTAGAAACTGTTGGTTGTCTAGTACTTTTATGTTGAAAATTGCTTCTACGGTTTTTCTGCAGTTATTCCCTCCTTTCAGGCTTCTCTTCTCTGTCTAAACTTGTATTGAAGTTTGATGGTGAACTGACTTGCCTTGTGGAATATTATAACAATTCCATGTTCTTAAACACGCATAACATCTTGTTTCAGGTAGCTAGAGTTAGGAATTCTCTGGCATATGCTACTCACAAGTTCTTTCAAGAAAGTGGATTTGTCTGGGTGGCAAGCCCAATTATCACAGCGTCAGATTGTGAAGGAGCTGGAGAACAGTTCTGTGTTACTACACTCGTAAGGACGTTAGCTCTCAATATTCTGTAATAATCAACCCATTAGTAACTTGATTGTTTTCACCAACAACTACAACTCTCAATTCCACATGGAAGAAAGGATAAAAATTACGCCTAAACTATACTTCATTGTTTAGATTCCCAGGTCCCATGAGACCACCGATTCTTCGATTGATGCAATTCCGAAAACAAAGGGAGGGTTGGTTGATTGGTCTAAGGTGTGTTCCAGCTCCATTTCTTTTCTAGATTAAGAATGGTAAGAGATAAACTTGCAACTTTAACAACTTTCATGGCTGGATCACTCCTCAGGACTTCTTTGGGAAACCAGCATTCTTGACCGTCTCTGGGCAACTCAATGGAGAAACTTATGCGACTGCTCTCTCAGATGTAAAAGTTGACTTTCTCAAGTGATCATGAGCTAGATTTTGGCTATAAAGTGTCTGAATTTCTCTTATGTATGACTTTACAGGTATACACATTTGGTCCTACATTTCGAGCTGAGAATTCCAACACTTCCAGGCATTTAGCCGAATTCTGGGTCAGCATTATTTCATCTTCCAGCCAAACTCACAATTGAATTTTTCTTACCTAAGTGCATTTTTCTGAAGACTTCTCTTCTACCTTAAAAGATGATTGAACCAGAACTTGCTTTTGCCGACCTGGATGATGACATGGCCTGTGCCACCGCCTACCTCCAGTACGTCGTATGTTGCTCTTTCACTTTGTATTTTCTTCAAACTATATACGAGCTTGTCATTTTTGTAACGTCATCTAGAATTAATTTGATTGTAATTCATCTCTTGATATTCTGATAGGTCAAATACGTTCTTGATAATTGCAAGGAAGACATGGAGTTTTTTGATACATGGATTGAGAAAGGAATCATTCGTCGCTTGGCGGTATGCCCTCTGATTTTCACTCTGTGATCAGAAAAGAATGTTATGCAGTTTGCACTGGCTGATATTATGATTGTTTTACATTCTAACTTGTAAAGGACGTAGTGGAGAAAGATTTTCTACAGCTGGGTTACACAGACGCCATTGAACTTCTTCTGAAAGCAAACAAGAAATTTGAATTTCCGGTAAAGGCCTTACTTTCTCCTTTGGAATTGGTTTGAGCTGCAAATATTGTAATAAAAATGCAAACATGCTTTTGGCCTCTGAGTTAACACATCTGCATTTCTTTTTCTCATACAAGTTATGGCCTCTGAGTTCATATTTTACCTTTATGTTTTGGTATATTCTGTGTATGTAAGCTGTGATTCAATATTCACTTTTAATGGGTGGGTTCTGGAAAATGATATTTTCGATTGTAGAAATCATGCGTTTCCCTTTCCACTTACATGGGGAATGCTGTGTCTGATAGAAATGGTTCTTGTAGGTGAAGTGGGGGCTGGATTTGCAGAGCGAGCATGAAAGGTACATAACAGAAGAGGCATTTGGGGGTCGACCTGTGATAATAAGAGACTATCCAAAGGAGATAAAAGCGTTCTATATGCGGGAGAATGATGATGGGAAGACAGTGGCAGCAATGGATATGCTCGTGCCTCGGGTAAGATTAAGATAATACAGAAAACAAAACAAAAAAGCATGTTGATAAGAAGTAGTTAATAATAAACAAAGTTGGGTTTGTCTAAGAACAGGTAGGAGAGCTGATAGGTGGAAGCCAAAGAGAGGAAAGGCTTGAGGTATTGGAAGCGAGGCTTGATGTGTTGAAACTTGACAAAGAGAGCTACTGGTGGTACCTCGACCTCCGCCGCTATGGTTCAGG